AAAAAAAAAAAAAAAAAAAAGATCTGAGCTGCAAAAAACCCTGCCAGGTGTACAAATTAGGGACAGGGTAGTTGTGGCAAAAAAGGATCTTTGGGAGGGGGAGGGGGAGGGAAAGTAGGAGAAACATAAGGGAAGGGGTAACAAGTTTGACAAGAAATGTACTTATTGGGCTGGGAAGGTGGCTCAGTGGTAGAGCGCTTGCCTTGCATGCATAAAGCCCTGGGTTCAATTCTTCAGCACCACATAAGCAGAAAAAGCCAGAAATGGCACTGGGGCTCAAGTGGTAGAGTGCTAATCTTGAGCTGAAAAGTTGAGGGACAGCGCCCAGGCCCAGAGTTCAGGCTCTGGGGGGAGGAGAAATGAACTTATTACCTTACTTATATAACTGTAACCCCTCTGTACATCACTTTGACAACAACAAAAAAAATGTGGGTTTTTTTTGTTTGTTTGTCTTAAAGAGAGGATCTTCAGCTAGGCCTCTGACAGCTGTTTAGCTCCAAGAGGAACAGTGCCTAGTGAGGTAGTGAGTGGTTGTTAGGTAGAAGATGGAGGCTGTCCAGAGATGGGAGAGGGAGGGTAGCTGTCATGGACACACTGAGGGTAGTGGTAGAGTGCCTGGAGGGGGTGCATGTGGAAGGTTAGTGTGTATGTGCTGTGCCTCCTGGTGGGCTCCACCCTACTCCCTGTATCTCATGTCAATTACATTTGCCATGATGATTGGTTTTTCTTTCTGGTGGCACTGGGGTTTGATCTCAGGGTCTTATGCTTCTCTACTCCATGAACCATGTCTTAGCCCACAGTTTTCTTTATGAGACAAGCCTGTTCTTTGTAGTTATTACCTTGCCATCTCAGAATTTGATTTATGATTCTATTCTCAATATGTCAAAGTCCATGTGTTTCTTGATCTTTCCTCAGAATCTGAAGCTGGAAGGAACAGAGGATCTTTCTGATGTTCATGTGAAGCTAGGAGATTGAAGCCATTGCATAAGTCAGCAACAGGAGGCCCAGCAATTTCCACTCTGTGGGGAGGATGATGCTGTTGCAAACTACCATTAGTGCCTGTGATTGCTCCTCCCTTCTCCCCTTCATAGTTGGTGCCACAGCCTGAAACTCCATGACCAATGAAGGATACTACTATGAGGACACCTAGGAGGGCAGAAGAAGGAGACGGGAGTTTCCTGCTTTGGACTGTGAAGACCTACATCCATTTACATTTCTGCATAGTTCTACCTAGATTGACCTTTGTTATTTTCTACACTTTACTCTTAATAGAGAATAACTTTTAGTAGGCTTTTGATATTGTCTTTAAAAGGCTCCCGAGTGCAAATACATCATACATACATTGATGAATGTATATATGTATATAGTCCTTAAAAATAAAATCATTAAATATCTGAGCCAATCCTGTTTTTCCATATTAGTGTTAGACCTGGTTCTTTCCCTCTAGGCGATGCAGTCTCTCAGTGATAGATTGCCTACAGGTCCACATAGGCAGGAAAAAAAAGCTTACTGTAGAGGAAAGGGAAATCCCCAGCTAGAAATTGAAGTTTTAAGATAGGTGTGAATACTTGAGGTCTCTGCTAGAAGGTGATGGAGGTGGTAAGAGCTACTATTTAAGTGCTCTCTCCCCTCTTCTGTGGGCTTCCTCCTTTAGGCCTCAGCAGCCTGTGTGCGATGCTGTTGCCTCTCTCATGTTAGAGGTAGAAGGAACACAGAGTAAAGTATTGTAGAGGTAGTCTGCCTCCAGGGTCTATGTCCCTGGCTAGCACTCTGTGCTGCTTAAAGATGGGGAGCAGTGCTGGTGACGCTCATGCAGCTCCACAGAATTCAGGACACCTACAAATGTAAAATGGCCTCTCATATTCCCACAATGCAATAAAACTGCTTGCAGTTTGCTGAAACTATAGGTGTTGATGCACAGAACTTGGTCCTGGCTAGGTCCTGGGTTTCCTGTCAAAACTTGCTGGTCAAGCCAGGTGCCGGTGGCTCACGCCTGTAATCCTAGCTACTCAGGAGGCTGAGATCTGAGGATCGCTGTTCAAAGCCAGCCCTGGCAGGAAAGTCCATGAGACTCTTATCTCCAATAAACCACTCAAAAACAGAAAGTGCTGCTGTGGTTCAAGAGGTAGCGCGCTCACTTGAGCTGAAGAGCTGAGGGACAGCACCCAGGCCCAGAGTTCAAGCCCCACAGCAGACAAAAAAAAAAGTGCTGGTCAAGACAAGATCCTGGATAATAGCCCAAAGCAGCAAAGTGTATAATTGACAATTATTCCTCATAACTCATGGTTAAGCTCCAAACCACATACAACATAGTCTCTTGCCCCAGCATTGTGCTTTATGTACTGTCTAGAATACCCACCCTGTTCTATTGGGAAGGTTAGGGGCTTGTGAACATGTGTTAGAAAAAGCTGTGCATGAGGCAGAGATCTCACCCCTTTCTGCAGGGACTGGAGCCCCTAGCACAGTTCCCCATGCCAAGTGAGTGCTGGTCCTCTTGCTTTATTACCTTTTAGTTCTGTGAGTAGAACTGGCAGACCTTGTTTTCCCTTGTGTTACATTTCTATATGGTCTGGGCTAGAGCTGAGCTTCTTCCTTGAATTCCCCTCCCTGCTCTGCTTTTCCTTGTATTACATGGCTACTGTGTCTATTCGAATTAGTTTGGTTGCTTATAATAGGAAACAAATGAATACTGTGTTCTGAATATGGGCCCCAATACAATATTATTAAGTAGTTCATGAGGGCTAAACCCTCATGAATATTAAGATTTAGGGCTCTTACAAGAAAGGTCCTTGCTAGGCACACGTAGCTCACTACCCATTATAACAGAAACTCAGGAGACTATGATCTAAGGATCCAAGTTCAAAGCCATCCTGACCAGGAAAGTCCACGAGACTTCACTTAACCACCAAAAAGCCAGAAGTGGAGCTGTGGCTCAAGTGCTAGAGCTCCAGCTTTGAGCAAAAAAAGCTTAGGGACAGGACCCAGGCCCTGAGTTCAAGCCCCAGTATCAGGAAGAAAAAAAAGCTGCAGAGGGCTGGGAAGGTGGCTCAGTGGTAGAGCGCTTGCCTTGCATGCATGAGGCCCTGGGTTCAATTCCTCAGCACCACATAAGCAAAAAGAAAAAAGCCGGAAGTGGCACTGTGGCTCAAGTGGTAGAGTGCTAGCCTTGAGCTGAAGAGCTGAGGGTAAGCGCCCAGGCCCAGAGTTCAGGCCCCATGACCGGACCCAAAGAAAAAAAAAAAGTTGCAGACTAGTGGCTAGTGTATGACACTGGTCTTTGGGCTATAAAAAGTGGTAAAATAGCCAGGTGCTGATGGCTCATGCCTGTAATCCTAGCTACACAGGAGGCTAAGATCTGAGGATCACAGTTCAAAGCCAGCCCGGGCAGGAAAGTTCCTGAGACTCTTATCTCCAGTAAACCACTAGAAAACCAGAAGTGGTGCTATGGCTCAAGTGGCAGAGCACTTGCCTTGAGCTGAAAAGCGCAGGGACGGCGCCCAAGCCCAGAGTTCAAGCCCCATGACCGAACCCCCCCCCCAAAAAAAAAAAAGTGGTAAATGACCCAGGCATGGGGGATGCTGGGATGGAACCTTGAACAACAGGATGATGGACTTTCACCATGGACTGCCACACCGCTTCCCACCAGCAGAGGACAGTGCGGACCTCCCAGGCACAGGCTGCCCTAAGGTCTGATTATCAAGGAAGGGAACTTTGCCCAGGGCTGTTGTATCTCATCCAGCATGGCCTAGATACTCCAGTGTACAGAACAGTGAGGACTGAGGCAGAAAGACCCATCCTAAGCTGGGAGGATCATGTCACCACTTTCTTCCGGCTGTCAGACACCAGAATATCTGCATTACTAGTGCACTGAGGAATTGGGGACACCACTCCCACTCCATTGCCCGTCTATTCCCACTGGACAGCCAAAGTGGATCTCATGGAGTATGTGGATAGGCAACATTGTATACACAAAATATAGCCCCAAAAGGTTGCAAAGTGAAAGAAGTGAACACTTTCCCCCTGCCCTTAAGTCCCATTCCAGCACACTGCAGTAAGACTGGTTAACAGCCCCTCTGGCTCCTGTAGTCTTACAAATGAGAGCTGCTTCTAAAGTTTATACATTTCTATTAGGAGTGTGGTCTAGCATTTTATGTGTTAAAGCCATTTGTAATTATCACATGATTAGCTATTCCTATTCTGAGTATTTGTCCAGAAAACCAAGGACTTGAACAGATACCATTAGATTCAAATTTACAGCAAGTTTAGAAATTGGGCTATTTATTCACAATATCCCAAAGGTGAAAACAACCCACACGTCTAGAAAGATGAATGTATAATCAAAATGTGACATCTGCTACAATGGAAAGTTATTCAGCTGTAAAAAAAAAAAAAAAAAAAAATGGAGTGGGGCTGGGAAGGTGGCTCAATGGTAGAGTGCTTGCTTCACATGCATGAGGCCCTGGGTTTGATTCTTAAGCATCACATAAGCAGAAAAAGCCAGAAGTGGCAATGTGGCTCAAGTGGTAGAGTGCTAGCCTTGAGATGAAGAGCTGAGGGACAGCACCCAGGCCCAGAATTCAGGCTCCATGACCGACAAAATAAAAAAAAAAGAATGGAGTCTGACACATGTTGTACTGTGGATGAACCTTGAAGACATGCAGAATGAAAAAGTACAAACAAAATTAAAAATATTGTGCAATTTTGCTAACAGGAAATAGTGAGATTAGGTGAATTCATAAAGCCAGAAAATAGAATTGTGGTTGCCAGGGGCAGGAGGGAGATAGGAAATTATGATTTAATGGGTACAAAGTTTCAATAGGACATGATTAAGAGATTGTGGAATTCATAAGTCATTATGTTTGATGTACAGTATATAAAAGTTGAACTACTGTAACTTTAGGGTATGGATGGAATTGGGAAAGATGAAGGGAAATGATAGAAGGGATGACATAGATCCAGATGTGTTGTACCCATAATCTGACTTGTAGAATTGAAATCCCTTTGTACAAGTATTTTAAAAAATATGATACTCACTTAAAAATGATTCTGGAATAGTATAATGGTAATAGTCGCACAAAAATGGGAATATTGAATTTCATACTTAGCAATTACCACTGAATTGATGCCTAGAACTGCCTAAAATGGGGGTTGGACAAAGGCTCAAAGCCTCTGTGCTTCTGATCATATAATATTTATCAAAATGAATTCCAAGAAATGGAATTATTTGTTTTTTTTGTCTTGTTTATCTGTCTTTAGGGTAAGGGGAGCACAGAAATATGGGGTGGGGGGAGACCAAGGGTGAACAAATGCAGCAGTGGTGCTCACTAGACACTATGTTGAAACTGAACTACACAACTTGTGGGTGGGGATGGGAGACAAAAACTGGGAGAGAGCAAAGAAAGGAGTGACATTGTTCAAAAAGAAATGTACTCATTACCTGACTTACAAAACTGTAACCTCTCCATACATCACCTTTATCATAACAATTTAAAAAATGGGGACTGGAGGAGGTGTGGCTTAGGTGGTAGAGCACCAGCCAATGAGTGAAAGCATCAGATACTGTCTCTGTTCAAGTCCCAGACTCAGACAAAAAAATAAGATTGAAATGTCAAACTTTATGTTACATATATTTTTACCACAATAAAAAGGTAGTTGAGCCAGGCGCTGATGGCTCATGCCTGTAATCCTAGCTACTCAGGAAGCTGAGATCTAAGGATCAAGATCAGAAGCTAGTCTGGGCGGGAAAGTCTGTGAGACTCTTACCGCCAATTAATCATAGAAAAAGCTGGAAGTGGTGCTGTAGTTCAAGTGGTAAAGTGCTAGCCTTAAGCAAAAGGAGAGTAGATATAGTGCCCGGGCTCAGAGTTCAAGGCCAGGACCAGTCAAAAAGAAAAGAAAAAAAATTCATTGAAAAAAATCATTTATTTTATTTACCAAGTCTTACAACTGGGTACGGTGGTAATACATGCTTATAATCCTGGTTACTTGAGGGGTAGAGGAAGGAGGATCCAAGGTTTGAGGCCAGATGGGCAGTTAGCAAAACCCTATCTCAAAACACAAACAAAAGCACTGGGGAAATGGCTTGGGTGGCAGAGTGCTTGCTTAGCAGGCTCAAGGCCCTAGGTTCAATCCCCAGTACCCTCCCTTCTCTCAAAAATTTGGTTGGGGGGGAGGGCCTAGCTCAGAGGTGGATGCTTACCTAGCATCAGCACTAACTGCCCATGTTTAACCATCAGCACGGACCACTCTCCCATAATAAAACACACAACAGCTTTTTCCAGGTAAGCCTAACTACTTATTTTTTAATTTGCATAAAAATGATTTATCTGTTAGGTTTTTAACAAGGCTGCCCAGTAAGAACAACACCACTCACATGGTATTAAGGTAAGGGGTAGGT